TGGTATGGCCCACCCCGGTTTTTTTTTTTTTTTTTTTTTAAAGAGACACGTATAACACAAAGGCCAGCTCCTCAGGACACAGGCCAGTCACAAAACTCTGTATTTATTTATTTTGATTTATGGGAGAGAAGGTCTCACTGGGTAGCCCCAGCACCCTACCTGGACAACTAGAACCGCATCTAGGAGATACTCTGAATCTAAATATGTATTTATTTCATAAAGAAGGTTTCAGTAAGTATGTTTAGTCTCTGTGAGTTCAGTGAGAGGCAGCCATTGTTGTTATTGCTGTTGTTGCCACTGTTAGTATTTTTCTGGGGCGGGGTGTTTTGATGACACCCAGGGCCTGACATAGTCTACCCAAGTACTCTATCCCTGAGACACAAGCCCAGCTCAGATCTTAGTTCTTTGAGCTGTTTATTGTTAGATGTTTGATTAGTGTTGCTCAATACAGGTGTTCAGCCTCTATAACCGATGGGGAGATGGATGGGCAAGTGATCCAAAGTGCAGATAAATACTTGGAGGGGGGCTGGTGCTCCGGTGAGATGGCTCAGTGGGTAAAAGTGACTGCAACCAAGTCTGATGACTTGAGTTTGACTCCCTGAACCCACATGGTGGGAGAATTAACTCCCACATGTTGCCCTCTGCCCTACACAGTTGGACAGTGGCACATGTTCCCCCCCACACCATTCACACACACAAATATAAAAAAAAAATCCAAAAATACATAAAAGAGCATTGGGGATCAAGGGCTCCCAGTGCAATTTACTGGTGAATTTATGCCTAGCATGTGCAAAGGCCCTGAATCCCATCCCAAGCACTACAAAACAGAAGTCAAAAGCCCAAAACAGGGCCTGGAGAGATGGCTCAGCAGTTAAGAGCACTGACTGCTCTTGCAGAGACCGGCACCCACATGGCAGCTAAGAACTGTTCTTAACTCCAGTTCCAGGGGAATCTGATGCCTTCTTCTGACCTCTGCAACACTGCATGACACAAGTGCACTCACATACATGCAGGCAATACACTTGTACACATAAAAATATTAATAAAAAAACCCCAAAACTATAATAAACAAAATTCACTCAGTTTCAGAGATGGTCCTCAGAACCTTAGAACTGAGGCAAAGTTTCTTTGATATCCAGTGACAACAAATCATTCTGGAAGGGGGAGGGGCATCACTATGCAGAGTGAAATAAAGCAGAACTTGTGAGGCCCCTGAGCCCCTTCTAATTAGAGGGGCCACATTCTCCACCCTTTGGCAGACGGTGTATGGAAGAGAGGCTGCTCTAAGTGGCCTGGCTTACTTTGAACAGTCACACAGCAGACTGTTATTGAGTGCCTTCCATTTACAGCAGGAATCTTTCTAGGAATTATAACACACCCAGGGAAGTGTGGAGTCTGCACATGTCACCGCCCCTCGCAGTCTTAGGGCACTGTTCTAAAATGATTTTATTTTATTTTTTATTTATTATTATTATTTAAATATTTTATTTGTTTTTATTTTATGTGTATACGTGTATTGCTTACATGTAGGTAAGTGCACCTGTGTCATGCAATGCCCACAGAGGACAGAAGAGGCTGTCAGATCCCCTGGAACTGGAGTTATGGGCAGTTGTTAGCTGCCACATGGGTGCTGGGATTCAAACCCAGGTCTTCTGCAAGAACAACCAGTGTTAACACTGAGCCATCTCTCCAGCCCCAAGATTTTATTTTTTTTTATGTGTATGAGTGTATTGCTTGCATGTATGTAAGTGCACCTGTATTGTGAGATCCCTCCTGAGATCAGAGGAGGGCATCGGATCCCCTAGAACTGAAATTAGGACAGTTTTTGGCTGCCATGTGGGTTCTGGGAATCGAACCTAGGTCCTCTGCAAGAGCAGTCAGTGCTTTTAACTGCTGAGCCATCCCTCCAGCCCCTCTAAAAAGTTTTTTTAAACAGGGTCTCATGTAGCTGAGGCTGACATCCTGAGTGCTGAGGTGATGGGTGTGCCTCTACGGCTTTGTGGCCACGTCTGTACTTACACTAAAAGGTTGCTTAGTCAACAGTTAAGCTAGCAGTCCAGACCCTCAAACCCAAACTAGTTAAACAGTCACCTTGTAGCCAGGAGTGGTGGCTCATACCTGTCATCACAGCACTCAGAGAGCTGAGGCAAGAGGATTGCTGAGAGTTCAAGGTCAGCTACCTAGTGAGACCCTGGCTAATTAAAACAACAATATAAAATGAATGAAATGAGCCGGGCATAGTGGTGCTGGCCTTTAATCCCAGCACTCGGGAGGCAGAGGCAGGCTGGATCTCTGTGAGTTCAAGGCCAGCCTGGTCTACACAGTGAGTTCAAGTTCCTGGACAGCTGGAGCTACAGGGAGACCCTGTCTCAAAAAGACCCCCCCCCCAAAAAAAAAGAATGAAATAAAATAATAAAAAAAAATTTTTTGGCCTTTTGAGACAAGGTCTCCTTGTACCCCCACTATGGAGCTCACTATGTAGACCAGGCTGGCCTGGAACTCACAGAAATCTTTCTGCCTCTACCACTCAAGTGCTGTGATAAAAGGCGGGCGTTACCACACCCGGCCTAAAATAATAAAAAAGTTTAAGAACTGAACGTGGTGTTTCGTTCCTGTAGTAGCTGCCTGGTCTACATAGCGAGTTCCAGGCCAGCCATCGCTACATAGGGAGACCCTTTCGAAAAAAAAAAAAAAAATTACATATATATATAAAATAATACAATATATAAAAACTTGCAAAAGGAAACACCATTTACTTATTGGTATTTCTCGGAGAGCCCTCCAAATTGGCAGTTCATGAATTGGGTGCTTATCGCTCATTCCCACCTCGCACATGAGCAGGGTGAAGCAGCGATGCGAGAGAGAAGTAACACCAGGCTACGCGGCCATCCTCTGCTCAGGAGGTCCAGCCCAGAATCCTCCCACCTCCAGCTCCCAAAGGCCCGCAAAACAGCAGCCCCTTTAAGAACGCAGTGCCGGGCCGAGTAGGAAGGAGGCAGTGCCTAGTGCTCCTGACGGACGTGCTCAGGAGCCAATAGGCGTGGTACGCTCTGCGTAACTCGCCAATGGACGCTCTGGGGGCGGGGCGGCGCTTCCGAAGCTGCTTCCCGAGGCGCGGCGGCCGCGGCTGGGGGCGGGGAGGGGGCGCAGGACCCCACGCGGGGTCCCGGAGCCGCAGGCATGTGTGTCGGGGCTCGGCGTGGAGGCGGGGGCGGGGCGGCGGGGCTGCGGGGCCGCGGGGTCGGGGCCTTCCGGGGCGGTGGCATCCGCTGGGCGCGGGGCGGTGTTGGGGGTGCGGGGCGCGCGGGGCATTGTGGGCGCTCGGGGCGGGAGGGTCTCCGGTCGGGGCCGGATCCCGGAAGGAGCCCCGCAGGTGAGGGTCGCTGGTTCGGGACGTCGGGCTCCGGGGCCGCCTGGGGCTTGGGGGAAGGTTCTTATTGGATTTGGGGTGCTGCAGTCAGCCTGAAGGGCTACCTAGTGAGGCCTGGGGCTGGGGAGATGCAGCAAGAAGCCGTATTGGAGTCCCCACGACTCTTGTTATTTTTTGAGACACCGTCCGTTGTAGCGCAGGCTGGTCTCCCAACTGGCAACGTATCTTAGGCTGGCCTTGAACACTTCTTCCTCCTGCCTCCACCTCCCAACTGCTGGGATGACAGGTGTGGGCCACTATGCCGGGTTTATGGGGTTCTGGGGATTAAGCCCTTGACTTTGTGTGTGGTAGGCTAGTGCTCTTCCAGCTCCAGGCCATTTTTTAAATTTCTTGAGCCCGGGTCTCATGTAGCCCAGGCTTGTATCAAACTCCTGTAGTCTAGGCTGGTCTTGAACTCCTGAGCCTCCTGCCTTCACCTCAAGAGCTGGGAAGAGGAGGTGTGTGCCACCCAGTCTGGTTTATGTGGTATGGGGAATGGAAACCAGGGCTTGGTGCTTGCTAGGCCAAGTGCTGAAACCAACTGCTGAGCAGCAGCCCTGGCTCCCTATCACGATTAAAAGCTGGAAGCAGGTTTGTGATAGAGGCTGGTTTGGAGCCAGAGTCTCTGATGTTGGGTACCTCAGTACCTTCAGGGTGTGGAGTGAAAGATGGGTGTTTGGTGCTTGGCCTTTCATGATACGCCCTTTTGCAGGTTTACCTGTCCCAAGTGGCTTGAAGGCCCAAAATACAGCTTTCCCAAGGCCTCAGAAATTGTCCTCGCAGTGTCAATAATCCCAGCAATTCACTCAAAACCGCAGTCTGCAATCTTACCTTTCAATCTTGCCCTTGCTATTGGTTTGCTGTGTGACCTTGGCCAAGTGGCTTTTCCTCTCTGGGCCTCTTTTTTTTTTTTTCTTTAATTAAACTGTGTATGCTGAGGGAGTTCCCCTACTTTCTGGGGTGTTTATAAAGATTACATACCAATTACTTCTAATTAGCTAAGCCTGCTGCATCCTGAGGCTGCGAGTCTGATGCTCCGTCATTCATTCCACAAGCAGCATTGGTTGGATACCCACCCACCTTAGTAGATGAAGCCAAGGCCCTGTGCTGCTGAGTCCCATAGCGAGTAATCCTAGTTGTAGGGAGTCAGAGCTGAGGGGAGTTATAGGGGTTGCCTAGGTAGGACTGTCTCCTTCATGCCTAACTGTCCCCTAGGGCCAGTTCCTGACCCCCCAGCAGCATGGCATCCTGGGCTGAGCCCTCGGAGCCTGCTGCCCAGCCACCTGCTGGGGTACCACCACTGGAGGACTTTGAAGTATTGAATGGGGTTGAAGATGCTGATGGGGAGGAAGAAGAGGAGGAAGAGGACATTGACCTGAGCAGGCTGCCACCGCTGGAGGACATGAGACAGCCAACAGTGGAGGAGTCCGAGCAGCCAGGAGCTCTGGCTCGGGAGTTCCTGGCAGCCACAGAGCCTGAGCCAGCCCCTGCTCCTGCTCTGGAGGAATGGCTGGACATCCTTGGTAAGTGCTGGGGTGCAGAGCTCATGCAGAGGCAGGATGGGCCTTTGCTTCTTTTCTCCTGAGCATAGTTTCCCTTCACTGTGGTTTGGAAGTAACTACATCATCAATGGCTGCTGCTTTGTTGTTGTTTGTTCCTTTTGAGACAGCTTCACTGTGAAGCCAGACTGGCCTTGAACTCACTTTATAGCCCAGGCTGGCTCTGAACTTTGGAGTCTCCGGTATCACAGGTTCATCTTGTCCAGTGCTGCCATCACAGGCCTTTGCTACTCTGTCTGGCTCCCGAGACTGCTTGAGACAGGCATGTTTTTTAACGTTGTCCATTGGCTCATACCTCGGCACGCACACACAGAATCTGTATGACAGGTTGCTTTTTCCCCTGCTGGTAAGAGCAGCTCAGAGAGGCTGAGTCACCTGCTCAAGCCACACAGCCTTTGTACCCGGTGCCAGCAGCCTCTGCTGCATCTTTTCTGAACATTTGTCTAGACATGTGACAGGTTCCCAAAAAACTGTATGCTGTAATCCAACAGAGGTAGATAGTGTCCACTTCTGTTCATTTTTGCCTGCTTCACAGCATTTTATCTGTGCCATTAATAATTATGTTGGGGAGGATTTTTTTTATGTGTGATACTGAGGATGGAACCCATCCCTCCTGCATGATAGGCAGGGGCTCTATCTCAGCCCTGCCCCCAACCTCTCACCTGGGAGATTCTAGGCAGGGGCTCTACCCCTGAGCCATGCCCCAGTCCCTCACTGGGTTATACTGGGCAAGGGCTCTACCTCTGAGACACATCTGCAACCTCTCACTGGAGGATTCCAGGCAGGGGCTCTACCCCTGAGCCATGCCCCCAGCCCCTCACTGGGAGATTCTAGGCAGGGACTCTGCTGATCATACTCCAGCCCTTTATTCTTAAAATCCTGATCAGCCATAGCTGGTCATGGTGGCACATGCCTTTCATCTCAGTACTCAGGAGGGGAGGCAGAGGCAGGTGGATCTCTGTGAGTTCAAGGCCAGCCTGGTTTACATAGTAGGCCCTATCTCAAAAAGACCAAAAAAATAAATTAAAAAAAATAAAATTCCAGATCAGCCATGTTGGCCAGGCATTGTGGAGTACAAGTTCAAGATTATCTTCAGCTACATACTGAGTTTGAAGCCAACATGGGCTACATGAGGTCCTGTATCAAATAACTGAAAACAGCCGACCAGACCTGCCATGTTTCATGGAGCCTGGCTCTAGCACCAGCCTCACCCCTAACTTTGTCCCATTTGGTGGGGCACAGCTGAGTGACAAGCACAGGATGTGGAGTTCCAGCCCAATATCACAGAAACAATACACTATGCTGTGTGGGGTCTGCTGCACTTGCTGGGTGACGACAGAAACAATACACTATGCTGTGTGGGGTCTGCTGCACTTGCTGGGTGACGACAGAAACAATACACTATGCTGTGTGGGGTCTGCTGCACTTGCTGGGTGACGACAGAAACAATACACTATGCTGTGTGGGGTCTGCTGCACTTGCTGGGTGACGAAGCAATGCATAGAGGTGGGATGGCCACCAGATTCCAGGCTCACCTCTGGTATCCCACAGGGAATGGGTTGCTGCGGAAGAAGACACTGGTCCCAGGCCCGCCAGGCTCCAGCCGTCCACTCAAAGGCCAGGTGGTGACTGTGCACCTGCAGATGTCCCTGGAGAGCGGCACCCGCGTGCAGGAGGAGCCAGAGCTGTCCTTCACGCTGGGAGACTGCGATGTCATCCAGGTGGGACTGGAGGTCTGGTGGGCAGGTGGGCGGGCAGTGCCTTTCAGGGTGTGGGCCTCTCTGACCCCCACTCTGGTCCTATTTCCCAGGCCTTGGACCTCAGTGTCCCGCTCATGGATGTGGGTGAGACCGCTATGGTCACTGCTGACTCCAAGTACTGCTATGGCCCCCAGGGCAGGTGAGGGCCTGCCGCTGTAGGGTAGGGCCAGCCTGCACTCTGCCCGCTTCATAGAAAGGGAATGGAGGTTCGGGCTGGCTAAGTCTCACCCTGGCCATGATGTGAGAGGGTGTCATGTGTTGCAGGGGGGGGTGTGTGACATGGGGCATCCTAGGACCTGAGGTCCAGCCTTCTTGCCCCAGATCCGGTCTGGCAAGGAAGGTATGGCCTGGATGCCAGGTCTGAGTGCTCCCTGTTGGCCACCTTCCCAGCAGGAGCCCATATATCCCCCCACATGCGGCTCTGTGCCTGGAGGTCACTCTGAAGACGGCTGAGGATGGCCCTGACCTGGAGATGCTGAGCGGCCAGGAGCGTGTGGCCCTGGCCAACCGGAAGAGGGAGTGTGGCAACGCCCACTACCAGCGCGCAGACTTTGTGTTGGCTGCCAACTCCTATGACCTGGCCATCAAGGCCATCACCTCCAGCGCCAAAGGTGACTGGCCATCCTGGGGTGTGCGTGGGCAGAGGCCAAGTGACAACCTGTGGGAGGCGGTTCTCTCCTATTACTGGGGATCAAACTAGGTCCTCAGGCTTGGCAGCATGTGCCTGTACCCACTGAGCCCTCTCCCCTACCCACAGGCCAGCTACTCTTAATGCCAGACCTCCACACCCTTGTTGGGCTACAGACTGTTCTAGAATATTCTAGAATATGGGTAGATTCCCTGCCATCTATAACCTGCAGGCCGGTGGCAGCTCCCAGGCTTATGGTGGTCGGATGGTGACACCTGTCGTCCCAGCACTTGGGAAGTGCAGCAGGAGGATGGCTAGTCTGGGCCGCGTAGGGAAATGGCCTTTCCTCCTGTACATACACAAGTGTTTGTGTGTGCGCCTGTTCTGTGTGTACCTGTTCTGGATTCATGCTCCTGTTCCTCTCTGTGTATGGACCAGCTCTTGTGTGAGAGTGTGTGTGCATGCATACGTACTCCTGTGTGTATGCATGTGCCTGAGTGTGTGTGGAGGCCGGACATCGACACTGGGTGTCTTCTTCAGTCACTCTCCACCTTGTTTGTTGAGACAGTGTCTCACTACACCTTGAGCATAGTGGCTGTCAGGGAGGTTTGGGGTCCTCCTGTGTCCACCCCCAGCACTGGGTTTTTAGAGGCATGCACCATTGCACCTGCCTTTTTACGTGTCAGAAGGGTCAGAAGTTCAAGGCCATGTAGCCTGGGCTACATAATAACTTTGAGGATAGTCTGAGCTACTTCAAACCCTGTCTCAAATAAGAAAAATGTGGCTAGGATGTGGGGACTGCAGATGACCTCAGTCCATGTGCCCCACTGCCCCAGCCTGTGGTGATGCAGGCCGAGGGTAATGGTGTGAGGGCAGGTTGCGCAGTGGCTCCCCCTCTCCGCAGTGGACATGTCCTTTGAGGAGGAAGAGCAGCTGCTGCAGCTCAAGGTGAAATGTCTGAACAACCTGGCGGCATCACAGTTGAAGCTGGACCATTACCGCGCGGCGCTGCGCTCCTGCAGCCTGGTGTTGGAGCACCAGCCGGACAACATCAAGGCTCTGTTCCGAAAGGGCAAGGTAGGTGCAGTTGGCTGTTTGGGTCTTATCCATGCCCCTTGTGTATGGTTGCACCCTCCTTCCTCCCTACTGAATCTTAGACCAGTTCCCCACCCCAGGGACACAGACTGTCCCTTCTGTCTGAGTTGTTTGTGCCCAGGGCCCCGCATGAGTCCTTCCTAGGCCCTGTGCTTTTGATTCTGTTTTGTTTTGCAGGGCTGAGAACTTAGCCCCAGGGCCTCCCACAGACTAGGCAAGCTTTCACATCTATTTAAGAAGCTGAGGAAACTGAGGCACAGACCCTGTCACCTGAGGTGTTTGTGAGAAGCTGGCCAGTAGCACTCCAACTGGTGTTTATGAAGCTTGGCCTCTGTTCAGGGTTCTGTAGGGAGGGGTGTGGCTGCTCTGTTCTAAGAGTTTTTTGCAGAATGGGGGACTCCTATGCAGATGTGGGGCAGGGAGAAACCCAGTCAGATAGCATGAGGCAGAAACAGCGATTGTAGCCAGACACGGTACTTGGGACTGTGCCCCAGTACTTCAGAAGACTGAAGTAGGAGAATTACTACAACATCTAGGCCAGTCTCAGCTATAGAAGATGTTCCAGACTAGCCTGGGCTACAGAGTAAGACCCTGTGTGAGGGGAAAAACCCCCCAGAAAAATGGCTATTTATTGGAACTACTCCATCAGGGAAGCTGTTTTCAGACTCTGTGAGATCCAGGTTCCTGTAGAACTTAGGGTATTGTCTGCTCTGAGGCCCCCTGTGCCCTGAGGGTGCCCACCCCAGCCCCCACGTCAAGCTGTGTCTCACTGGCCACTGTGGGTCATAGGCTATCTTAGCGTAATACTATCCAGCCAGCCTGTGAGGCAGCCACAGTGGAGAGAGGTAGGGGATGTGGGGGGGATACCAGGGCTTCGGGACCTGGCGGGTTCAGAGAGTGAGCCCCTCAGAGCATGGCTGTTCACCACAGGTGCTGGCTCAGCAGGGTGAGTACCGTGAGGCCATCCCCATCCTGAGGGCTGCCCTGAAGCTGGAGCCTTCCAATAAGGTGAGCAGGATTCTGCTGGACTTGTCTGGGATGTACCCCAGTTCTCTGCCTCTAGTCTTCCTTGCCGTTCTTCTGGCTCATCTAGGGGTGGGAAGGCACCTCCCCAACCACTTTGCAGAAGCCAGGAGGGTCAGGTGGACCTGCCCCCGTGTTCTGGGGGCCCCACATCTGACAAACCTAGGGGATCAGAAGAGCAGAGCACCAGCGATGACAGGCAAGTGTGCTGTCTCCTGCACGTGCTCACTCATTGCCACCCACCTCCATAGACAATCCACGCAGAGCTCTCGAAGCTGGTGAAAAAGCACGCTGCGCAGCGGAGCACAGAGACCGCCTTATACCGGAAGATGCTGGGCAACCCCAGCCGGCTGCCTGCTAAGTGTCCTGGGAAAGGGGCCTGGGTGAGCCAGGGTGCCAGGCACCATAGAGAGGTGTGGCAGACTAGGCTGGTGAGGCTGGGGACACTGGGGATTGGAGACCAGGTTGGGTGGAAGGTGGAGCTCTGGAGAGCTGAAGGGCTCAGGGCAAGGGGTGGAAGAAGCTACCTTGTCAGAGTGGGCATCTGATTTGTGTTTTGAGGTATGGGTAGGAGTTTGGTAGACTTGTTAAAGCACAGGCTAGGAGACTGGTGTGGACCAGGATATTGGCTGAGGCCAGCCTTCACAGTCTCCCCTTTATCCACAGTCCATCCCGTGGAAATGGCTGTTTGGGGCGACTGCTGTGGCTCTGGGGGGCGTGGCTCTCTCTGTGGTCATTGCTGCCAGGAACTGACTGCCCTCTCTTTGCACCACGGACCCCACCCTGCACTCCCTAAGACTCCTAGGCTCCCTGTCCACTGCCCTCCCTGGCCAAATCCCCTCCTCTGGGTCAGGAGAGCAAGGATTGAGGGTCACACCCGAACAAACAGGAGGGACTGAGGCCCCAAAGGGGGAACATGGGGTGCAGCCCAGTGGGAGGGGGCCCTGTTCCTCCAGATTTTATTTCCCCGTATACACCACTACCTTCTGGGATCAGGCCTTAGCCTGGATGGCCTCAGTTTCTCCCTCAACAGGCCTGGGGGCAGCCCTCACCACTAGTCCTGCCTGCCTCCCTCTGGCACCCCCCCCCAAGTGAAATAAAGCTGCACCCCACACCCCGCAGCCTCCTGAGCCTCATTCTTCTGTAGCTAGAGAGAGATGACCTGTGGTGACTCAGGATCACACAGGACTGCAGCTGAAACAGGTACTTTACAGGGCGGGTGCTTGGGCCCGGCAGGCCGGTCAGCCTTTGGCTTGGGCTGAAAACAGATGGAGCTGTATCCATAGCTTACACCGCAGCTGGACTCCAGAGAGCTACAGTCCAGCCCAACAGAAATGAGCATTTCTATTCTGTGCCGTTTTCTGTCTGAAGTCCAGCCCTGGCGTAGATTCTGGGGGTCACTTTTATTTGCTGAATGTTGTGGTCTCAAAACAGTTGGGTGCCTCCCATATATGAGGCTCCAATTCCACAAGAAAGAGGGTGTTGTGGGGGTAGACTGCGCAGTCATGGTGGAGTGAGAGAGAGAAAGCTGGGACCCAGGCAGAGGCTATGGTCACCTGAGAGGAGTCCCCATAGTTTGGTGGGCTAAGAAGGACCATCTGCAGCAGTGGGCTGTGCACCACATCAGTGACTGTAGGGTCCACCTATGTCACAAGCTGAGAGCCAAAATCTGGGGTGCACAGTCAATACAAAGACCCTGTAGCAGGATGGAACCTAGTCTGCTGATGGATAAGGGACAGGATAGCTGGGCTCTGCAAGGCTTCCCAGGCAAGGAGAGGGCACCCTGGACTGGAAGTGTCCCGTAAGCACTGCCCTGTGTCAGCTCGGGTCAACGCTCATGGCCCTTTCTACCTCCAGGAGTGGGGACTCCCTTGTCCGTACACCTGTCCCCTCAGCCACTTGCCACACCACCCAGCAGAAGGCAATGGTTGTTTTATATTTTTGTCTTGTATAGCCCAGGCTGACCTCAAACTCACTATGTAGTCAAGGTTGACTTTGAACTCCTGATCTTTCTGCCTTTACCTCCAAGGTGCTGTGATAACTGTTTTGTTTAATGTTTATTTTTTGAGTATGAGTGTATCACCTGAATGTACGTAAGTGCACCCTTGTGCAATGTCTGAAGGTCAAAAAAGGGCATCAGATCCCCTGGAGCTGATGTTTGTTAGCCACCATTTGAGTGCTGGGAACAACCTGGGTCTCCTGCAAAAGCAGCCAGGGCTCTTAACTTTAGAGCTATCTCTCAACCCCATTTTTTTGTTTGTTTGTTTGTTTGTTGTTTTGTTTTGAGACAGGGTCTCCCTGTAGCTTCAGCTGGTCTGGAACTGCCTTAGACCCGGTTGGCCTCAAATTCTCAGCGATCTGCCTGCCTCTACTTCCCAAGTGCTGGGATTAAAGGCTCACACCACTGAGCCTAGCAATCTAATTTTTCTTCAAAAAAAATTTTTTTGGAGGCCATGGCATGGTGGTATATACCTTTGATCCCAGCACTTGTGAGGCAGAGGCAGGTGAATTGCTGTGAGATCAAGGCTATTGTGGTCTACATAGTGAGTTTCAGGCTAGCCAGGGCTACAGGGAGACCCTGTCTCAAAAATCCAAAATCTAGAGCAGGGTGTGGTGGCGCACGCCTTTAATCTCAGCACAGAGGCAGGAGGGTCTCTGTGAGTTCAAGGTCAGCCTGGTCTACATGTGAGTTCCAGGCCTGATGGGGCTGCAGGGACACCCTGACTCAAAAAGACAGAAAACAAACAAAATTTTTTTTTAGAAGTGCTGGGGATGAAACCTAAATTCTGATTTCCTGGTGTCCTAAGAGTTCAGAGCCATCCTGCCTCTCCCAAGGCCACTCAGCTGCTTGCCTGCTGACTGAAGCTCTTCCTTCATTCTGTACCCCAGATGCCCTAGAGTTTGTGCAGCTAGGAGCCCAGGCACACACTTGCTGCATGACCCGGGTTGTCAGGGCTGCTCTGTGGCTCCTAATCTGTACCAGGGACTAGGACAGTTGAACCAGAGGGCAGATCCTGGGGTAAACAGTTTGAGCATTTCCTCATCTTGGGGACCAAAAGATGGCTAGTCAGGCAAAGGCACTTCAGCAAAAACCTAGCAACCTGACTTTGATCCCAAGAACCCACATAAAGGTGGAAGGAGAGAGCTGACTCCACAATGTTGTCCTCTGACTTCCACATGTGGGCCAAGCCATGCCCCCCCACCCCGAAATAACAGTTGGCACATCTTTAGTCTCAGCACTTGGCAGGGAGAGGCAGGTGAATCTCTTGAGAGATATGAGGCCAGTCCGGTCTGCATAGCGAGTTCCAGGCCTGCTGGAGCTATTGGGAAATCCTGTCTCAAAAAACCCCACTTTTTTTAAGATAATGTGTAGGATTCCCATCCAATGCAATTCAGTATCTATTCAAAGCCACTACATCCACTGATGTGCATCAAGACACAACAATGGCCTTTACATTCCAGCACTTGGGAGACAGAGGCAGGTGGATTTCTATGAGTTTGAAGCCAGCCTGGTCTACATAGTGGGTTCCAGACCAGCTGAAGCTACAGAGAGACCCTGTCTCAAAAAGAAAAAGAATGCAAAAAGTCAGACCCCAAGGGTCACAGGATTTGGGATCGTGCCATGTAAACCCCCAGAGGCTGTCAGGTGACAGGGAGGAAAGGAGAGGATTTGCAGGTGGGGACCCAGCTCCTTTTGGGGCAATGGAATGTCCTGGAAGAGGATAGTGTTGGTGGTTGCACAATATTGTGGACGTGCTGAATGTCACATTTGTATGTTATTTTTTTTTGGGCTTTTTGAGACAGGGTCTCCCTGTAGCCCCAGCTGTCCTGGAACTATGTAGACCAGGCTGGCCTTCAACTCAGAGATCCTTAAAAGGATGCGCCACCACGCCCGGCTTGGACTTTAGAAAAGCTCAGTGAATCTTCCAGCCCATAACTCTGGAAGCCCAGGGTCTGAGATGCCTTTTCAGCGGGACCCAGCAGCCCATGCACGCCTCGTTTACACACCCGCGCCCACCAAGCAAATCCTTAACAGACCCCGCTCCCCCCTTATCCTCCCGCAGCTCTGCGCAGACTCCACGGAAGGAAGGCGGAAGAGCCTGCAAGTCCTCTGGCGTCAGCAGCCGGAGGGGTGGGGCCCCTACGCAACTGGTTGTGTGGCTTAATGAATAATACACACATGGGGGGCGTGGCCTCGAGGGGGTGGGTGTGGAGGCGGAGTTCCGAAATGACTGCCTCTCCGCGTTTGGAGCAGGTAGAACCGTCAGCTAGTGGGTCGGCAGGGGGTGTGGCTAGTCACGCCTCAGGTATGCAGCAGACCGCTGGTGAGGGCGGCCTGAGACGCTTTAGCAATAGTTCAGCTGGTTCGCGAAGCGCGCGACCAAGAAGGGTGGGCCTTTAGATGGTTTGGAGGCGTGGCCAACTGTTGTAGCTCGGAAGCCAGTTCACGAGCGAGGGCGGGCTCTGAGAGAGCTGGGGGCAAAGGTCAGGGTCCCCCCACCCCCCAGGAGGCCCTTCGTGCGTGCACGCCCTGAGGCGCGGCCACACTGCCCTTATGAATAATGCAGCACATCCGCTGGGGCAGGCCTTGGTGGAGCTTAGGGGCGTGGCCAGAGCTAAACCGGGGGTGGTGGTCGAGGAGCTGTTTGTCCTGGAGGGCTAGACCTGTGTTGTGCATGGCCACACGCGGAGCGCTGGGTCCGGGCTTTGCAGCGCAGAGGGATTCCCTGCACGCCGGGATCCCCGACAGGTTGGCGCCCTGGTCGCGCGCAGTGTCAGCTCCAGCCGGTTCCCTACTCGCCTCAGGAATACCAAACTCGCTGGCGAGACGCGCGGCGGGGAGGGTGGGAGTCACTGGATCTGGAGAGCGTGACCAGATCTGCCTTGTTCCGGTGACCGATTCAGTGAGGGCGGGCTTCAGGCGCGTCGGGGGGCGTGGCTACCGCGCCTCGTGAATAATAAATACAGCGTTGGCCGGTCGCGGAGCTGGGAGTTTGGAGGCGTGGTCACTGGCGCAAAGAGCCGGCGAATCGTTGGTCAGGGAGGGCGGACTTCCTGAGAGCTTGGGGGCGTGGCCAGTTCAGGGTTCGCGGGCGAGCTGTTTGTCAGCGAGGGACGCCCTCCGAAGGGTTTGGGGGCGTGGTCAGTCCTGTGGCGGTTACTCAGTGAATGGGGACTTGGAGGGGGACGGGAGGCGGGGCTAGTCGGTCAAACTATCACGGCGGCGGGCCTCAGAGCCAGGGGGCGGGGCCTCAGGTGTTGGGGCGTGGTCAGCAGCGCCGCGCACCAGAAAGAGATCGTTGAGCTCGTGGAGGTGGGCGTGGCTATGCTCGTCTCATGAATAATGCAGCGCGTCGGCGGGCGGCGGGGCGGGGCCTGCGCGCTGGCGCACCCGTGTAGGAGGGGGGCAGGGGAGTGATGGTCGCAAGATGGCGGCGCTGAAGGAGGCTCGGAGCTACGGGCTGTCGTGCGGGCGCGTGAGCGACGGCAGCAGGGTGTCTGTGTTCCACGTGAAGCTCACCGATAGCGCCCTGAGGGCCTTCGAGAGCTACCGCGCTCACCAGGTGAGCGGCGCGGTGTTCGGGGCGGGCGGACGGTGCGATGCGAACACCTGCGGGACCTGTGCGGGGCAAGGCCGCGTCCACACCTGGCGACACCTTGACCAACCCCAGGAGCATCCCTCAGAATCGCTCCCAGTTGTTTTTTGTAAAACATGTTTTCGTTATGGAGCCCAGGTTGGCCCAGAACTGACGGCTATCCTCCTTCCTTAGCTGTCTTTAGAGCTGGGCTGACAGTCGTGCTGTACCCATTCTCCGAAGAGGTAGCTTGGACAGAAACTGACAGCCTGACCCTAGATCTTAACACCCCAGATCTCCCTGTTTCCCTGGACACCTTGGAGGAGGTTGTGGTGTTTTCCTAAAAGGACAGGCTGGGGAGGTGATGTTCGTTAGCCGAGGTGGCTGCCTCTGACCTGAGGGGAGGCGGCTGTATCCACCACCCTTGGTCAGTGCTTCTCACAGCCCTACCTCCGTCTGGGGAAAATCTGAGATTTTTCAGTGCTCCCTGGCTGGGGGTCGCGTTGGGGACCCCCGGTGCCCTTCTTTCTAGTGCCTCAGTTTGGGGCACACCTTGGAAGCACCATCTCAAGCCTGCGTCTTGCCTTTTGTATTTAGTGTGATGGCATCACCCACCCGTGGGTCAGGACAGAAGTTGCAGGTCCCCAAGGCGAAGTGGTTTGAGCTTGATAAAGTGACTGGGATATCGGGTCTGTCGCTGAGCCTGAGACAGTGTTGTTGCGTGGGGGTGGGGGGGACGCGGGCGTGTAAGCTGAGAGTAAGGAGGAAGGAATGTGGCTTTCTTCCTGCCTGGGACGTGCTCTGCACTATTGGCTGAGCTGACCTGTGTTCTGGGGAGGACACCCCTTCCCTCCCGTCTTACCACTTTAAGCCACTTCCTGCCTGTCGCTGGGGCTCAGGCCTCCCCCTTTCCAGTAGGGGATGGAATCTCCTTGGGAGGGAGTAGCTCATCTCGTCAAAAGTGTTCCCCACCCTGGGTCAGAAAACACCCCTGCAGGTAGAGGAGGAGGTGGCCAGTGGCCACTAGGTGACAGGCCCAGCTACTCTTTCTGCTTGGAATGGCCTTTCCCCCTGGGCCATTCTGACTGGTCCTGCAGGGCCATGGCTTTTCCCACAAACAGCTGTGCCCAAGCATGAGTCCTGGGCTGTCAGGTGGACTTGGTACCTGGTGGCCACAGCTAGCCTTCGCCCTGCCACCCAGTGGCACGCCTCCCCTCCAGCAGCCTCCCGCTGCTATTTTTAATTTCGGGTGTGGGTTACATCCCTAACAAAGCTTCATCTTCCTCTTGGGAGGGTGCTTGCAGAGCTCCAGGCTGCCATACAAGTGCCCCTGAGGAACCCAGCTGTGTCTGGCCATGTGATGACCAGCCATGAGAGGGTGGGCCTACTACCTTCAATTTTGGGGCAGTCCAAACCTATGTTTATCTGGAAAGATGATGGGGAACTTCAGTGGCACCAGGACTTTCAGGTTTCATGTGTGTTTGGCATCAGAGCCTCACTCTGTAGCCCAGGCTGGCCTTAAATTTGCCTATGTAACCCAGGATAGCCTCAAGCTCACAGAGTTCCACCTGCTCCTTACTCCCCAGTGCTGATCACACTTCACCAAGAGCAACCTGTACACAGGGTGGTTATTTTTACTTTTGTTTTTTGTTTTTCCAGTGGCTGGGCTAGAACCCCCAGCTTCAAGCATGCTAGGCAAGTGCTCACATTGAGGGCACCCTCAACCCTTATTTTTATCTTATTAATATTTGAGGCACAGTCCCCCTCTGTAGCCCAGACTGGCCTCGAACTTGGGACCCTCTTACCTTAGCCTCGTTGGCACTCAGCATGCTCCAGCATACTCTTGCTTTACTTTTAATGACCAGGAACCTTTTCCTAGTTTAGGTATGACCAGAGCAGGGGCTAGAGAGCTTGCTGTGGGGTTCTCTGTGTGGTCTTTGGACAGAGCTGGGGTGTGTTGCAGAGGGATGGGAAGTGTGTGTTTGCCCTTAGGGGCCCGGTGGCCAGGCCATTTCAAGGCACAGATGCAGGCCTGGTTTCCAGCCGCACCCCACCTCTGTGCTTGGTGCCGTTTCTCCTCTAATATAAAAATAAGTGCAGAAACCACCTGGGGTCCCAGGACTGGGGAGGGTGAGGCAGGAGGATTCAGAGTTCCAGGCCAGCCTGAGCTACATGAAACCTTGTCTCGACGAACAACCTAAGTTTCCACCCCTAGTGGCTCTGCTGTGCAGCTTTATCTTTGTGTTTTGGGACTCTGTGGGTGTGGCTTTCAGGTGGAAGAGGAAGTGTGGACCTCTCTTCCAGGACAGCCACTCCTTGGGAGGTGTGTCCCCTGGTGGCCCTGAGGAAGTGACCCACCTTTGGGGGGAGGCATGCCTTCACCTGCTGGGCTGTGTACATTATTGGCAGTCAGGTGAGCTCTGGCCATGTGCCCTGCCCTGTCCTCAGAGGAAAGTTCAGGGTACTTTGGGGGTCCACAAGGTCAGGGATCAGCACCTTCAGAGGCCTTAGACCAGCAAGGGTTCCCAGCCTGTGGTCCTCTACCCAGAGCAGCTCCTGTCAGGGCCTCTTTTCCCTGGGCAGCTGACCCCTACTTGCAGGAGTCCACCTTGTGGATCCATCCTGCACTCCTTGGACAGATTCCCATCAGTGTAGGGCTGGCTTTTGGGACCTGGATCTCACAGTGCTTGGACATACCCCTTGTGTCATATGTGATAGTCTAGAATCCTCAGAGATGGACAGGGTAGACTCATCAGGCTCTGTGTCAGGAAAGAGGTAAAGGGGGTGGGGGCGTGATGGTCAGGTGGAGGCTAGGGGCAAGGGGAGGCCCTGACTTATATGCTGCCAGCATGTGTAGGCAGCTGGCATGGGGGCAGGCGTCCTGGGTCAGCTGTACACTCCCTGACTTAGCTCCTGTTCCTGAGTCCCAGCCTTTTTACGACTTACCAGGGGACAGCCCTGAGCAGAGTCACTTCATTCTGAGGCTGTATCCCCTGCCCAAGGCCATGTCATTGTCCATTCTGTCCCAGCTCCTTCTCAGGGCCCAAACCATCAGAGACACAGGAGCATTGAGGCCTGGTGCCAAAAAGTTGGTGACAGGGACATGCAGATCCCTCCTCACTGACTAGAAGGCAGAACAGATCCCCTCCCCCTAGGAGCCCTCCTGGCCCTGCGCCAAGACTGTCTGCAGGTGAGGCCAGGGCGGTGACTCTAGGCTGAGCCATCTCTTAGGACCTCCAGCAGGGAGGTGGCTGAGGAGCTAGGCATCAGGGCCTGGGAAAGGCGGTGGCCTAGCTGAGCAGGGTGGGGCAGATGGTGTGGGCATGAGGAGTGTGGTGGCCTTGTGCTCTGGCCTGCTGGGGGTGGGTTCTCCTGTTTGTGTCGCAAGGTAGGTGGTATGTGGTTCTGGGGCCCAGGTCCTCCCAGGACTAGAACAGGAGGGAGCCAACCTGAGGCTGTAGGGCTTCAGTCTGCAGGAAGTGGGTGAGGGGTACATGTGCTGGGGACCCAGCCCTGCTCTGGTCACCATGACCTTTGACCATGCTTCCTGGCTGTGGCCACGGTGACTGTATATAAACAGCAGGCCCTCAGAAGCCACCCTTCTGTTGACTCATCTTCAGGACAGAGTTCATCACCTTGTGAGCAGTTTTGACAGGGTACAGGATTGTGACATCCCAGCTCTGAGGGAGGAGGAGCAGGCCGCACAGAAAGCACACTGCTTTTCCCGCTGTGCTGGAGCCCAGCCAGACCCCAGGAAACCCTGAACCCAGAGACCCCAGAATCCAGACCCATGAGCCATCACCTTTTAATGGGTCCTCTGGGGCACACTAACCCCTCTGCTCCTGCAGTCAGCCCTTCATGTGTCTGCCCTGATGATGTGCACCTTCTTGGTCACTCTGAGTCACACAGGTAGGATCCATGTGAGCTCTGCATTCCCAAGAGCCATTCAGGGCAGCGCCCCAAGTGACCATTTACCTTGTGCAGACAGCCCTGCCAGGTGGATATCTGTGTCTGTTTTGTTGTTTAGCTTTTTGTCACAGGGTGTCATGAAGTCCAGGCTGGCCCTCTTCTCTGCCTCCCCTGCTGAGATGACAGGTGTATGCTATCACACCTGTTGTTTAGTTAGTATAAAAGAGTGGCTGGTGTCCAAATGAGCCATCCCATCCTGCTGCATGTGTGCTAATGACATCCTGAGGCTAGGAATGTTTCTGACCAGAGGAACTTGGCTCCCAGTGGGAGGAAGCAGGAGGGACTGGGTGAGACAGGAAGGGGACCCAGCCTCCAGCCCAAGAGATTTCTGGAGTGGCCAGCCTTCTGTTGGAAGTGGCACATGGGAATCATTCCTTCTACTGTGAGACCAGCTTAGCGCAGCATGGAGTCGCTGTACTGCATGCAGCCTCCATGCTGTCCCCTTGGCCCTCCCCCGGCTGTCAGTGCTGAGTTCTGGTCCGCTCTTGCGATTTGGTCTTTCTTCCCACCCTAGGTAAACTGCTGGTTTGTGGCCCCTTGCCTGTGTTTCTGTGCTACCTCTGAGCCACACTCCCAGCCCAAACCCTCCTGTTTTCTTTGCAGCACTGAAGAATGCTAGGCAGGTGCTGACCACTGGACACCCCAACCCCCTAAGCTTTCCATTTTCATCTCTGCATTTCTCATGCTTGTGTGGCCCAATAGGTCTCTCTCTGATCAGACTTGGATTCCAAGATTCTGGTCCTGGGGTGCTGCTTTGGGGAGCCTGCCTGAAATGGAGGAGACCTGGGGAGAGTTCCTGGAGGAGAAGGCCCTTCCATTTAGTATTCAGTGCTGGGATTGCTGTGACCCACGGGAGGGCAGCAGCTGGAGACTGGGAGGCCATCGGGCTGTGGGTAGACACTCAGGCCTGATCTGCCACAGTGTCCCAGAGTGTGCAGAACTAGTGTGGGAGGCATTGGGGATTACCTGTGTCAGGCCAGAGGAGATGGGTGTCTCTCTCGAAGCCAGGCTGGCCTGGA